ACAATTAACTAACTCATCCTGTAAACAGTTGCAGTCTGGGAAACTCACAGGGGGCAGTTCTACCCTGTCCTCTAGGGTCACTATGAGTTGACCTTGACTGGATGGAAATAAGTCTGGGTTGGTTGGTGTTGGAGAAGTGATTACAGGTACACTTACAATGATGATGATGATGATGCCAGCGTGAAGTCAATGTTCTCTTATAAACGTGACAATAAACATAGTTCGCATTCACCACGTCCTTACTGCATCCCAGGTTGTTTACCTGGGTCATCTCATATCGTCCTCACAGCTGTCCTGTGAGGCAGGTCCTGCCGTGACCCTCGCTTGCTAGGGGAGGAAACCAAAGCACAGAAGGGTTGGGTAACATGCCCCAGGTTTGCAGGGTTAACACGTGGAAATGGAATCGGACCCCCTGATTGTAAGACCTGCACACCTAACTACCAGGTGACCAGACAGACTGAGTGCCTGCTGATAGCCAGCCCATTCCAACTCCCGGCGGCCCTCTGGGGCAGAGTAGAACTGCTCCCGAGGGGTTTCAAGGCTGCCATCTTAACCACTGCGCCACCAGGGTGCCTACGCTCAGCAGATCACAGATAAAGTGAAAGGGGGCTCAGGTGCAGGAGGAATTGCTTTTAGCTGGAGCGAAAGAAAGGCTCCACAGAGAGGATCGAAAGATAGGAGTTCAGAAAACAGGAAGACCAGAGAGAAGGAGACAATATTCCCGTCAGAGGACAGAGCCTGGGCCCAGAGTGCTCTGCTGGGCAGCTTGGTCAGAAACTGAGAGGAGTCAGTGCTGGCCTATTTACAAGCTAAGACCTTAGTCTGCCCCATCCATCCATTTATCTATCTATGTATCTATCTATCATCTATTTATCTATGTATCTATGTATGTATGTACGTACGTATCTATCTATCTATCTATTTATCTATCATCATATCTATCTATCTATGTATTTATCTATCATCATCATCTCCATATCATCGAAATCTGCATCATCTATATTTTTATCTATACACACAAATATGCATACAGCTATGTGAATATGTATAAACACACACAATAAAATTCCAACCCAATCCATCTCACTGCCATGGAGTCAATGCCGATTCACAGCAACCCCGTGCCTTTCCCAGACTGTAACTATTTGGATAGACAGCCCCGTTTTTCTTCCACGGAGCAGCTGGTGGTTTTGAACTGCTGACCATGAATGTTGTAGCCCAACATGTGACCACGATGTCACCAGGGCTCCTTTTACAAGAACGTTAGAAAATAAAATAGAAACTTAGTAAGTCACGTAGATATAAAATTTAAAGACAGACATTTGCTAGACCGAAATGCTTGCTGTGATCTACTAACAAGATTGTTTCGGGTGTTTGCAATGGTCAAAAGTACTTTTACATTTCACGTGGAATGAGCACCAAACAAGCCCACCAAGAACACAGCCCAACAAAGAACTCCACAGCATTCCTTAGGGCTGGCGGGGGCGCGGCGGGGCATGCACGTGTCAGCAGCAGTCAAGAGATCAAAAGACCTGCTGTATTGAGCAAGTGTGCTGCCCATGACCTCTCTAGAGTTGGTGAAATTCAAGGATGTAATTGGAGGACTAGGGTGCGCCTGACCGGAGCCTGCCTCCTGCCTCATGGGCCTGTGAAAGTTGGACCTGAAGAGGGATGGGCTTGAACCGTGGCGCTGGAGAAGAAGATGGGAAGCACCACGCTTGCCCAAAGGACATACCGATCGTCCTCCCGAGTCCTGACCCCTCAGATCTACATACTGGTCGGAGTGGCTCGAACAGGAGGAAAAGTAACACCGAACGGATCGTGGAGTCTCTAGTGACATACGAGTGCATTTCACACAAACAGAAGCAGAAGATGCAAATCTGGGCTCCCTGGTGGCCAGGACAGGGGCAGTGGAGGTTCTTCGGGGGGAATTCTCACCCTCCCGCAGGCCCCTCTGGAACTGGAAAGGCTCAGGAAACACGCACATAAGAAATCTCCTGACAACTCTTGGTTCTCTGCTACCTGGCAGTGAGACTCTGGGGCTTCCATGTCCTCCCCTGGAAAGGGTGAGTTTTGTCCCAGACAACTCATCTCGGAGAGAAAGAGGTCTACGACGCGTGCTCAGCCACAACCCACCAAGCAAATGAACAGAGGGAGCTGGGGGCAGGTGTTTGGGGGAAGAAACAGAACGATTGCTTCTACGACAGATGGGCTTGGAAGAAGGACAGCCAGAGCGCTCCTCGGAAGCAAGGATGGCGAGACTTCATCTCACCTCCTTTGAACATGTCGGGAGAGAACAGTCCCTGGAGAAGGACATCATATTTGGTGAAGTGGCGGGGTAGACCGAGACGAAGGAAAGCCTACAACAAGATGCACTGACACGGTGGCCGCAACTTAGGCTCGAACATGAGAAGACGGAGCGGATGGTGCAGGGCTGGGGTGTTTCCTTCTGTTGGACAGGGGGTCGCCGTGAGTCGGAGCTGAGGCCCTGGCAACAACCACAACAACAGCTACAGATAGGAGAAACTCAGACTGAAAGGAAAGCGGGATGATGACCCGGCGCCTATGGAGGGACCGGGAACCAGAAGGTGGTTGGCTGAAGGATGGTGCAGAAAAAGAACAGACAAGAAAAACAAGGAAAGCTCTCTGGACTGACAGAGAAACTGCTCCGAGAGATCATTTGGTGGAAAGGAGTGTGGTATGCTTCCATTTACATAAAGATGTGGACCAGGAATATGTTCTGACATAGTTTTTCTAAACTTTCTGGAGGGATACACACGAATTATTACCTTTGTCTGCCTGTGGGAGGAACATTGGGTAGCACATGGAGAGGCGTAGGAAGGGAGACTTACCTTTTCCTTGGATTCTTGATTACAGTGAGTTTTGAACCACATAAATGTGTAATGTCGGCCACATATTACATCATGAACAAAAACGGGGACTCTCTCTATCCATGGGGAAGACTTTCATTGAAGACGTTACACTCTCTCCCAGATCCCTCTCCGCAGCTCAGACCTCTAGGGCAGGGGTCCTCAAACTTTTTAAACAGGGGGCCAGTTCACTGTCCCTCAGACCCGTTGGAGGGCCGGACTATAGTTTAAAAAAAAACTATGAACAAATTCCTATGCGTACTGCACATATCTTATTTTGAAGTAAAAAAGCAGAAGGTGGAAAAACACCTGGCGGGCTGGATAAATGTCCTCGGCGGGCCACCTGTGGCCCGGGGCCGTAGACACAAGGACCGGCTTTGTTTGACTGGCTCTGAGTGGGGAGGTGTGAAGTTCTCTGATTCAACTACTTTGGTTGCTCACCTGGTTTTGCTGTGTTTTTTCGTGTCTGTGTGTGTGGCTGCCGGGACCCGCAGGAGAACGACAACCTGAGATACTCCGCCTTTGTCTTGTTTGGGCAGTTGGCTGCCTCTGCTGGACGGAAATGGAAGAAATTTTTCACCACTCAGGTCAAGCACACACAAGATTCCCTCATGGCCCACTTATGGGACAGAAATCCTCAGGTTGCCAAGGTAAGCCATGTTGACTGAGACCCACCAAGCAGCTGCGGGAAACCTCTGTGCTCGTCACCAACGGGCCTGTGATACCACCTGGTTGAGTGGGGCCACCAAACCCTTTAGGTTCCTGCCAGGCCTGCTCTAGACTCGGTGTCTTCGTGCGAGACCCGCACAGACACCTTCTCAACGACTGCATCTAGAGCAACAATAATCAAAGTGAGAGCGTGATTTTCCATTTGCTCTTGAGCCGCCTGCCTGATCCCAGGACCAGGCAGCGTGTTATACGCTCAGGTTACTGGAGGGTGGGGCCGACAGAAACACAAATAACCCCAACCCTCTGCTCTTAGTGACCCTGGAGGACAGAGTAGAACCGCCCAGTTCCTGAGATGGTAATCCTCATGGAAGCCGGCTGCTGTGTTGTGCGCCCACAGAGAGGCTGGGATGCTTTAACCACTGTGCCACATGGCTCACTGGGGGTTGATCCGTGGGCAGCAGTCCCTGTGTTGAGGGTGTTTACCCATGGTCCACTACCTTTTGTCACCAGGCCGAGTGTATAGAATGCCCACTCCTGTCTTCTCCATTCCCAATGGAATTTTGTTTTCACTCTTGAATAAAACGTGTCCTCCCAGGGGTCCAACTCCGGCCTACTTTGGGGTGGGATGGAGCGAATGCTTCAAAACCAGGACTTAAGCTCTTTAACTATAGCCCAGGTGCTCAGTGCATAGGTCCATTTGACCGCATGTATGTCTCCAGTGCCATCAGGGATTTGTGTGTTTGTTTGTTTTCAAGGGAAAGTAGCAGGTGGCTCAGGACAGGGCTCTGTGTACAGGCTCTGTCTCTGTCTGGTGGCAGCAGTTGCAGGGCCTAGGCAGGGCAGGCAGGACAATGGATGATACTGGGCGTACTCTGCCTCCTCCCCCCACCACCCACCTCCCCACACACTTCCTAATGCTCCAGCGCCTCCCACTGCTGCCCTTTCAGCCACTGCCACCGCTGTCCGTCCTCCAGCCTCTGCCAGTAGCTCCTGCTGCAGCTGGGGTACGCTGTCTACACAACATCCAAATCACGTAGCATCCTCTGTCGCTCAATGTCCTCATGGATGCTGAGCGTAGCATTCCTGTGTTTGCATCACTGGCTGCAAAGGATTTTCCCAAACTTGTTCTCGTTACCTTAGCATGAACGAGGGGAGGGAGGGAGAGATGAGAGAGGAGAGAGAGGTTGAATTATAGAAATCCCTTGCTAATTTTTGTGAGATAGTCACAAGAATCAACCGGTTGCCGCCAAGTTGCTCCCAACTTGTGGTGGCCCCTTCCTTGGGTGTCAGAGTCGAACTGTACATCATGAGGTTCCTGGGGATGATTGGGGCAGGGAGTAGATCACCCAGCCAAGTGTGTTGACTGTTTTGCACCACACAGGGTCTACATCTATAGCAATAATAAATCTTAACAAGGGCTGTGGTAAATTATAAAGTTATGCCCTCTTTACCAGCTTCCAAATTATAGAGATGGCCACTTAAGAAGCATATGAAGTGTACCCCAAAAGTACAGAATTTTTAAAAAGCTATGTATTCAACTTTTTAAAAAACAAAACAACCTTATCACCTTCCATGGACTCTCCATTACACTTAATACATTAGTCAAATCTGCGATTCCATTCTTGGAAACATTTTTCAAATTCATCTGTTTGGATGGCTGACAGCACCTCCTTTGGTTTTTCTTCACCTCTTCTAAGTTGTCAAATCACTGTCCTTTCATGTCCCTCTGCATTCTCAGAAACAAAAAGAAGTTGCATGGAGCGAGGTCAGGTGAGTCAGGTGCCTGGGACAAGAGAGGCATGCTGTTTTTGCCAAAAACCAGGCACACTGAGATGGCTGTGTGAGCAGGTGCATTGTTGTGGTGGCAGAACCAGTTCTCAGCCTGCCACAAATCAGGCTGTTTTTGTCTTACAGTGTTATGCAATCTTTTCAGAACCTCTAAATAGAAAGCTTGATTAACAGACTGACCTGGTGGAACAAACTCTAAACGCACTGTGAGTGAACAGTTTTGTTTTTTCCGGAAGTTGATGGACATGCAGAATGAGGTTTGTCATCAATCAATGTTACAGCTTTTTGGAAATGAGAAAATCACTCCTATACTTGAGTTTTTTCTATAGCACTGTCCTTGTAAGCTGCGTTCAACATCCTACCAGTTTCGGTGACATTTTTCCTGAGCAGGGAACAAAATTTCACAGTTGCACGCAGTTCTCTGAAATCAGCCATCCCCCCAAAAATGAGGTTCCAGTGAAACTGCCCTTATGAAAAAATTCACGGTGACCAGGGAGAACATCCCAGGCCATGCCACTGAGTGCACTAACTTTGGGGCGAGTGAGTTGCTAGGTGCTCTTCTAGTGGAAGCAAGGCGCACTTTAAAAGCTCCAGGGGTACCCCCTCCTATGTCTGGAATGTACCTGGAAGTCACTGGCACATCCCTGATGGCCCCTGGACCCCAGGTTGGGTGCAATCCTGTGGGGTAGCCTCTCTTTCTCAGAAGAAGGTTGTTGGTGTGTGCCTTCCAAGGCACTCCACCCACACCCCTGTGGGACAGAGTAGAACCGCCCCATCGGGTTTCTAAGGTTAACTTCTTCGTGAAAGCAATCGCTGGCCTTTTCTCCTTCTGAGTGGCTGATGGACTTGGGTCACTGACCTTTGGGCCAGCAGGTGAGCACTGGACTCTTGGGCCACCGGTGCTCCTCCCTCGGTATTCGAAAACTCTCTAATATGTAAGCTGGTAACATTCTCTCTTCCCAGGCTTGCAGAACAACTTTGCGCGCCTGTTCCCCTTATTTGAGACTAAGGAAGGAGTACAGCTTTCGGCTCGAAGAAGAAAGGCGCACCCATAAAGTCTGCCGGCAGCTGGTGAGTGAGCAACGGAGCGCTTTCCCTTGGCGTCCAGGTCCTCCCTGGGCGATGTACACGGCAGGCGGGCAAGCTCACAGGGGAGTCCCACCTGCAGGATTGGGCTGCCAACCACAAGCTCCACTGTTTGAAACCATCAGCCACTCCTCAGGAGGAAGAGGAGGCTTTCTGTTCATCCATAGTTAGTCTCGGAAACCCATAGGGGCAGTGCTACCCTGTCCTATAGGGTCACTACGAGTCGGCATCGAGTCGATGGTTGTGAGTTTTCTGAGTTTGCTGCACAAGCGCTATTGGCAGTTTCAATTCAGATAATTGTATGAAAGCAGGTTACAATGTAACCATTTCTCAGAGCAGGGAAGCAAGGCTGGTTGGTTATCCTTCAGCTTTGCGTGTGCCAACTGCCTACCAGCTATACAGTCAAGATATTTTATTATTACCCCCTGTCTCACTTGTACCTTCTTTGCTAATCTCTTTCAGAGCCACTACCATCCAGAGCTCCTGCAGTTCTTCTATGCAAATAAGATCCTGTGAGCACAGAGCAGCAGGGAGCTCATGAGCTGAGGTCTTGTATTGGGCTCCTCTGAGTCTCACCGGCGGCCTCTCGGGCTTGATGTGTGTAGTTATGCTAGAAAATCAGGTGTTCGGAGAACAAGTGCCGACACAAATACACCGTGGAGTTGCATCATTCTATCCAAGGCTCGAGCGTATTTCATTTTCTCTTCCTGCACTTTTGATGAGAGGGCACACACTTCCTGTAATGTGTTCCAAGTATTTGTAAATCCAGTCCTGATTTCTCAGCACTTCCCTTCTCAGGCTTGTCTCTGTCACCTTTCTGTCATTTAAACATCTAATTTCTGAGGTCAGAGAATAACTGCTACCGTCCGTTGTTTAGGAGCCCGGTTGGCACAGTCGGTTAGTTATTGGGCTGCTAACTTCGAAGCCCGCTGTTTGAAACCACCAGGTGCTCTATCGGGGAAGATGAGCCTTTCTGCTCCTGCAGAGAGTTACAATCTCGGAAGCCCACAGGGACAGGCAGTTCTACCCCGCTCTACGAGGCCATTAGGAGTCGGAACTGACTCGATGGCGGAGTTTGTTTTCTTTGTAAAGCTGTGTTCAGTTGAATTCCGTTTTTTCATTTGCTGCTGCTTTAAGTCCTTGCTCTCGTTGCCAAGACCCTTTTTATGAGGAAAGCGAGCCAAGGCAGTAGCGGTGGTTGGGAGGGATATCGTTAGCACCCCAGGAAGTTCAACAGCCCCCTCCTCCAAGGTCAACCTAAAAAAGAATTAATAAAGAGGGGAAACTATCTATCTATATAAAACATGTATTAAAATCCTCAGGCTGATGGTAACTTACAGACTAATAATAAGTAGAAAATTTGAGTGTGTTCTCAACTTCCTGAGTACAAGTCTGATTGAATACAACCCATGGATGGGTACTACTATTATCCCCACTTTACGGACGAGGGAACTATGGCCCAGAGAGGTTAAAGGACTTGCCTCAGGTGACACACTAAAAGGCGCTCTTCTGGCCTGACTTCGAGAAGCTGTGCAGAAGCACTAGGCTGTACTGCCTCTATGGGATAACGGAGGGTTGGTCAGAAAGGCGAAAACGATGCCAGAGTCTCTCTCTGGGAGAAAATCCAGTGAACTGTTGCTTCCATATGGACTAAGTGTACATTTTTTATTGATGCCATTTATATGAGCTACTTGTATATTTTTAGTCATCGTATATTGATTATAGAATCAATTTTGGTGTGATCAGTTCTAGTTGTAGGAGGGGGGCGGTCACCCAACTCTTATAAAAAGTTTCAAGAAGAATCTTAGTCCCTCCAGTTTCCAATCAGATTGCTTTCCGGTGACAGACATTTTCAAGCCACCTCCGGCCTTGATGGGCACACCCAGCTCATGGGGTCCAGTCCCGGAAGTGGAAAGATCACCAAGGATGGAGACATAAGAGGGATATAAAAGCTGCAAGGAGGTCTTACATGTCATCCTGAGAACCAGGGACAATGGAGACTCCATTTACTGCCCTAGCTGCCCCGAGACGGGGTCAGAATGTGTCCACATGAGGGGGCGAGATGTGTCCTAGAAGCCCTGGGATGCAGGAGGTGGCCGGAGGGGTGGCATTCGTGCACTTTCTTTCTCCTGATGCTGACCGTGGGGTGCATGGCCGCAGGGGTCTCAGGAGGGACACTGACTCAGGTGTATTGTTAGGTGTTAGACTGAGGACCCCAACCCACAGTGAGTACCAAGCCCCCAGACAGGTGCCTCCGCTGGCTGTTCCAGCCCTGCCCTTCAAGCAAGCGACACCAGCTGACCCCACAAGGGAAGAGACCGATGGTCTCCACTCAGCCCTTCCCAAATTGGAGAGCTGTCAGTCAGTAATTAAATCATTGTTATGGGTCACCAGCTCCGGAAGTAGTTTGTCACGTGGCAATGAGCGACCCCAAAGAGTTCCTGGTCATACATTTTGCTATTTTGATCACGTCTTTCCCTCCTCTCTCTTCGAATTTAAGCTAAACTCTACGAAATTATATGGGGTTCATTGGTGAGAACAAGGGACATGCCTGACTTTCATTGCTTATCTCACTTTGTCCACCGCAAGACCTGAAATATAGCAGATGGGTCAGAAACACTTGCTCTACTCTGATATTCTGTGTTCTTAGCCGTGGACTCCCACACTTCCTTTCCAGAATTCTCTTCTGTTATTCCCTTTGCTTCAGCCCAAGTTGGCTCCTCTCCCTTCCCCGGACACTGCTCAGTCTCTTGCACTCCCATGCCTTTGTGCAGGGCGTCCTTCTGCTTCTATTCGCCTCCCTCATCCACGGATACACACTCAGGCCCTGGTGCACACACAGTTCACGTACACCTCTTATCCAGCCTCCAAGGCTAAGGTCAAATGTCAAGTCCTCTTAGTCAAGAAAGAGCTTGTATCTAAATTCACAGACTGCCCTAGCAACTATATGTTATTAATACAGATTATCTCATTTGAAAGGCTTTTAAAAAAATCTACATGTGTGTGTTTCCTGTTGAATTGTCAACTGCTGACCCAGTCTCGTTTCTCTCTCTACCTCTCATACAACCCTGAAGGTGCTCAGTAAATGATGTGGACTGCGGGGTGGGGGTGGGGGGAGAATGAAAAACTCATTGCAAGTTATTACTCCGGGAGGAGCCTGTTCTGATAAGAGTGTCCTCATTTCCCTCCTTGTTTCTGATCTACAAGTGACTCTCATGCTTCTGTATTCTGTCGTGCCTGCTAGTTTGAGTGCCAACCTCAAGATAATGCTTTGACACATCTTGCTTTCCAACATTAGAGCAGTTGAAAAGGCTGAAAGAAAGCAAAAGGAATGTTCGAGCACTACTGTGCTAACTACAGATCTACGGAAAGCTTCATCCCTGTTGTCAGGTTGCCCATGGGATGGAACATTCTCCAAGACAAGGAGGCAGGAGAGGAAAAAGGCCAGGGAGGAGGAAGTAGAGAACCGAACAGGTGTGACCATGCCTGGTTATCAACATGAACAAAACCCACTGTGTGGCATTCCAGTGACGGGGTGGGTCACACGTCTCTGAAGCACACCTGGCTGTTTTGGAAGGAGAGACACAGCAGATTCGTAACTTTGAGCAGTTAGGATTGTAACTAAGGCAGAAGCATATCTGTGCTTTTCTGTATTTTCTTTTTGTGTGTGCAATAAGTGTGTACAACCTTTAAAATTGTATGATGATGCAAAATACACGTAAGCCATACCCTTTAAAAATAAAATGAGTACTAGGAAAAAAATGCCGCGAGTGGTGTGCTTTGGGAAGCCCAGGGAGATGCTGCTCATCCTCAGCAGTAGGCCTTTGCCTTTGTCCTGTGGGGATTCTTTGTCTTCACCTGTGAAGTGACAAATAAAATGAGGGTGGTTTTTACTTATTTATTTTCACACTGGCAGGGGCTTGTTCGGGGAGTGAACAGGCTACCACGGCCAGGATTCATAAACCAACAGGCTGGAGGCACTGGTCCACGGCAACATCTCTCTGCAGCCGGCAGTCAAGCCTCTCGCTCCCGTCCTCAGCCTCTCAGTGCCCTGCGCATCTGTGGGCCAGGAAGCCCAACTGCTGTCTGCTTCCTAGTCTCATGGCCTCAGTGCTGTTGCTCTACTCTCGTGCCCCAGCCTCTGGCTCTCTGCCTCCACCCTTTCGGACAGCAGAGGGAAATCTCAACGTGCTGGACTGTTGGATCTTTTTCCAATGGACCTGGGATGTCTCTCTCCTCCTGCCCTGAAGGCTTATCCTTTTTTTTTTTTAATTTAAATCATTTTATTGGGGGCTTGTACAACTCATCGCAATCCATATATACATCGATTGC